AAGAACGCGCGTCCATATCGTCATTTATATGGCGTCCCTCTCTTGAATGCCTAAAAATGGAATTTTGGTACTTTGTAGCCATGACAAGCCCTCCTCAGTGACATTCCCAACGGTCAGTGAGGGATGAAACACTTAGTGCCTATTCGAAAGCCTCAACGACCCATTATTTAGCTCAGTAAAGGCTAGCAGTACTAATATCATCCACCTCCATACTTTCGTGGGTCGCGAAGCTACAATTTCGCTCTCAAACAATCTTGAGTGAAGTTACGGAATGGGGCAACCTCAACCCATCTAAATATGGAAAGCAATTGGACTTCGCTTCCTACTAAATCAGATCGGTTAAATTTGAAAAGAAAAAAAAACAAAGTGTGGCAATATTTTATCTGCAATTCTGCTACCAGAATATTCATACGGACAATCTACCACCAATTTTACATAAATGTGCGAATCGATATTACGAAAATTACTGTGTCACACATATGTGACACACTTTGGTAATCCGTTTATTGCGACAGTCTACTTTGCTCCGCTCTTTAAACTAAATAATTCATTTTATTGCATTAATAAGCTGTCAAAGTCTTCTTTTTTATTTCTCTCAGTTTCACACTGATCTGGCGCCATGAACGTCTTCAAGAACGGTCTCCAGGTACGTCTTGGGCTGCACTTCAAGCCCACTTTACATGCATGGATAATAAAACGTTGCTTGATAAATCTTTATTGGTGTATTTATAAGATGAAGCTCACTTTTTCTGCCCTTGACGAAACTAAATAAACTTTCTAAGCGTAAAATATCCCTGGATGTGGGCTCTTTTTGGTCAAGAAGGTGAGACAAAGCATTCTTCTTGATATCGTTTAAATCCGAACCAAAATACGGAAGGATATAGTGGTAATGCCAACTTCAAGTGCATATTTGTCTCCCCATTAACCACTTACTACGAAATTTAGCTGGTATGTTAGTTGCACCATGGCTGAAGGTTAACCAACTGTATTTAAGTGGAAAAAAAGTTGCGAGAAGCGTGGGAGGAGTACCTGTAGTTTGTGTGGTGTAAGAAACACACCGCACACCATGATTGCTGAAGTGACGTGCTCCTGCTTCTTGTGGCTCAGTAAAGGCTAATAAGTGGAAAATGTGGCAACTAAAGTGGCTCCTAGCAATAATGTGCTTTTGCTAATCCTCCTTGAGTGTAGGTAAATCAGAACCGGAGTTTGGATTTACCAGCCACCTCCACTTTGAGCGCTCCCGTTAACTCCAGTTTACGACAGCTCTCCAACTCCGTACACGATCTTCGCTCCCTCGACGGTGCTCAGAGATCTACTGAAATGGATATGAGTAGCAATCGGAGAGCGCTCTATCGGGCTCGTAAAAATCGACGTCTCGACGACAATGTTCTACTACGGCCCCACTCAGGTTCGATTTTGCCTTTGTTAGGCCTTCAAGAAAGTCTGCCTTTCCAGTGCCATTTTTTACCCTCGGCGTGTAGTAAAATTTCCTGGCCACAGTGTTCTGCTCTTTGTTTCAACCGTAAATATCGCAATTGTAAGAGCTAATTTTCTGTTTAAATAAGGTCTTCAAATGAGCCACTTTTTATTTCTTGCAAATTTGTAGAATAGGAAAAGCGTTCTCTCCTAGGAGTTATCCACCTCAACGTTTAGCTAACTCGTAATTCGCCCCACCATGATAAACGAAACCACTTGAAGTGGACGCATGCAGTCTTGTGAAGCTTGTCTCCCTCCCTTTGAAGTGCCTTCTATCAGAATCACTCCTCCATTGTAGTGGCAGATCAACGGTATTTGAAGAACTCCTCGTCAGACAGTATGACAGATGGGCCGTCACCCTCCAAAAATCGGCTGTCAGTGCCCCTCAACCTCGGTGTCAATAGCACTATGAGCCAAACCCGCTCGAACAGTAGTCACTGTTCCATGGAATGCCTTGATGGGTCGAGCATAAAGCCGCCAGAACCGCTTCAGGGTGTCCTTTCAAAGAGTCGAAAATGGCCCATGAAGGGTTGGCATGAGGTAAGTCGGAGACAGCTATTGCGAAGTAGAGGAAGACGCCTTTTATTGTCATTGCCTTTCTTGTCTAGCGATTCTTCGTCCTCTCCAATGGCTGCCTTTCCTATGCCAAGAATCAAAGTTTAGTAAGTTCTCCTCTCCTTAAAACTTTTTTCCTGAATTGGGTGCAGCATTCAACGCTTCCATGGTGATCACTAGCTGGAAGGAGATTTGTTACCCAATGAGCACTACCTGGTCGACAGTTAACCGATGCTATGGAAAGATTGGTTGTGAAGGATTATGGACTGGTTAGAACACTAAGATTAGCCTTTCTGCGCGCTGAGGCTGGCAAATGGAAATCCACGCATCCCTTCAATCCTCTTGTTGCCGATGAATGAGTTGGTGTTGTGCCTTTTTTCACAGGAGACTTCTTAACTGTTGTAAGCCCTCATGGTCAGTGTTGCGTGCCCCTTGACCTGGAATGACCCCATTACGGCATGAGTTATAGCGCTTGTTGAAACTGGCTCTCCTCCTACTAAGGGTGGTAAAGCCTAGATGGCAATCCTTTTTCCTGCCTCTCCACCGACTCTGTTATGCCGCCTCCAAACCCTCCCATGTACGACTATGTCATCAGGATTGGTGTTGCGTCTTTAGCTGGCTCGTGGAAGAAACAAGACCCAAATTGACCTTGCGAATACCTTTGTAAGCTCGGAATCGGATAAATTGCAGATTACCATCGATGCAACCGCCGTGGCCTACCACCTTAAGGTAAGTGAGTCCCACATCCTTTTACAACTGTCAATTACGTGATTATCCATGTGATTGTGGAGAGCACATACTTTAAAGTGGTTAAGAAGTACCTCATGACAGCGCCAAAATCTTGCTTGTGATCGCACTAGTTTGAAGATGGCGCCAAATTCCGTCAATGGTTGACAGCCATAAAGGAGCATCGAAGTTACGACCAGTATCAAAGCGCCATCACTTCTTCGGCTCGATCGAACGCCAATCCGAATGTGTCCAGCACCGCCTCAAACCTCTGTGGAGAGGGGACGATTTGCAACAACAATTTCACCACATCGCTGAGCACACCGGACGTTGGACAGGTGTTAGTGCGACCGAGTAACCTCAATCGTGTCAGTGGCCCATGGGCTGGTCAAACGAAGGGGAACAAGCAAACCAACAGACTGTCCAATGAGCCCATCGCAGGTGAGCAGGTTTGAAGAATCCTTTTAGTTAAAAGTGGATGAGATTGAAATTTTTTTTACTCTCCCCTCCCAGCGATGGAAAAGTTGGTAGGGAAGTTGGAAAACGCCTACCAAGAACTTGCAAGAGCTCAAAGCTTGGTTTTGGTAAGTCCATGTCCCACTTTTTGCAGTGTTAGCACCAGAAGCAACTTACTTCTATGTTCTTTTTCTCTATTTCTCTCTCTCTCCCTCTCTCCCCTGAGGGGTCAAACATTCTCGAGAATGATTGCGCAGAAACAGAGAATTCCAGTCCAAGCCGGAGTGTCTTCTTCTCCCCAGAGCCCTTCATCGTCTTGGAAAGTCAATCCTCTTCTACAATACAAGGTCACAGGCGACTCAGCTCCGGCTCCTCTGCGACCAGTATGTACACGGCGGTTCAAGAACCTGCAACAGAAGCGGTTGACCTCAAATCCACCAATCAAAATCAAGACAGCATATCAACTGACTTTGTCAGGGCGGTAGTGAAGTTTTCCGATGAGGCAAAGCGGTTTATTGAGGAGGCGAATGAAGGTCAGTAGTGACGAGAGTTAAAGTCGCATGACTTGTGATGGATTTGCTCACCCCATTGTCTGCTTATTTTTTTAGCACTTGCGACAATGCAGCAGATGAATCAGTTGTGCAACAGCAGACTGACACCAAACAAGGAGCGGAATCCAATTCTTTTGGTGAATGATAAGTTCAGACCTCATCATCGCCTTTCTTCTTTCCTTCCCTGTTCTTTTTATTTTTCTTCTCCTTGCCCTCTTATTTCAAATCAATCCTCATTTTGGATGGGAGGACGCAGTGACTGTAACAAATGCCACTGAGGAGGGCTTGTCATGGCTACAAAGTACCAAAATTCCATTTTTAGGCATTCAAGAGAGGGACGCCATAAAAATGACGATATGGACGCGCGTTCTC